CTATGCGTGCGTAGATATGCATTAGATATGTAGCTCTCTCTGTAGCTAATAGATGCAAACTCGGTCATTGTTTTGAAATGATCCAAGAAAAGCGGTCTGGCCAAAAAAAATTAGTATGAAGTGCATGCACCGGAAAAAAATAGGATTAATGTAGGCCATATACAGTAGAACCTGAGATACTCAGAGGGGCGTCCAGAATATCCCAGAGACCTGGGACGTGTTCCCAGGAAGTATCGGTTCAAGGCGAGTCTAGCAAATAGGAAACGTAGTAATAGATGACTTAAGACTAAGGACATGAATGGCACATGAATGCAGACCCACCTATTCGAGATTGACTTTGCGAAGGAAGCTAAGACCGTCCCCGCTCATTGGCTTGTCTGTTTGTGTACCACTTCTGACTCCTGATCTTCTAATATTACGAGTGCTACCAGGCTGGAGATTCAGTTCGACTCGCGCCGTCTCATCCGAAGCCGTTGCATTGCCACTGGCATCTATGTCAGCCACTGGCATCGAAGCGGACGCAGTAAACACAGCATCTGGAGAGACATCCATGTAATTTACTGGCTGACTGATCGATAACTGGTCGAGCAGAGCCTGACCCGATGAGGAACGGAACTTATGCGAAGGAGCGTAGAGGCATAGGACAGCGACCACGTAGACGTTCCACATACCATATACACCGGTAATGAAGGCAGATGTGTATTCGAGCCGATGGCGGCCCCATTTCCACTGATCTTCATTAACCTTGGTTAGGGAGCATGCAAAAAATGGAATCAGCCACCAGATAGTCTAATTACCTTGGTATTTGCAATGATCCAAGCGAGAATTTGCCGTCATGTGGTTATAAGATTATAAATTTATACGCTGATTGTGTAGAAACCACTATGAACATGGCTATTATCATGTGAGCTTTCGAGGAAGATAATAGAACTACGACAAAATGAGGGACTAGAACAATACACAGAGGAAATATAATACCCATTAATGAAGGTAAATTCGAAGGATCCCTTAATAGATTGGTGTTGAAGTGTCTAATTTATTTTTAAATGTGGTGAATAGAATGTATTCATAAGATGTTAGGTGAATACGGAACAGCCAAACATGTCAACAACGCAAAATACAAGAGATAGTTACCTCGAAACTAGCTTATCCCATTGGCATCTTGAGACGTTATTTAGTGAATGAACCAATAACCGGTGTTAAGTGCATATGAGGGGCTGCCAAAAAAGCCGAATAGAACAGGTCGCTCAGCAAATTAATGGAAAGGGGTAATTATTCGTGGATTGGCTAAATATAAACTCCCAAAATTCTAATGTTAAAGAATTCCATTTTTATTAGCAATACCCTTAGCCAGATCGAGTTATGATGAACCGTATATAGCCTAAATGGATAATTGAGTTATAAGCAAAGGGCTTTTAAATACTCATAATGCTTAGGTCTAGGAAACCAAAAAAAAACAAGTTGGTGAGGGCTAATAATTGTAGCATATACCACTATGATAAATCAATATCGCATGGAAAATGTGTTTATGCCAGTTCATAGAAAGTAAGAAAACGAAATCAATTTTGACCTTGCTAAACAAGAGAAGAAATGGAGGAAAGAAGCATTATGCGAGGTAGGGGGATCAAGGACTAATAGTAGGATGATGAATGTTTCGATAATATTACGCTTACCTGGCTAAAAATAAAGAACACCACGGTGAGGGAAGCACAAACTAGGGTGTAAGCGAG